GTTTTTGTTCGTCACTCGACTCATCGTTTGTTTGTTCGGAAATAATCAATCGAGAAAGAACAAGAAATTGGAAAACAGAAAATTAGTTGAACACAATAAATCTAAAACAAAAACGAACTATCTTAGCTCCATCTACAAGTAAAAAGAAAAGAAAAGAAGGGAAAAAGTGATTTATAAACAATGGCGTAACCAATAAGCAAAGTACTTTTTCACTTAACAAAGTACCAAACGAAGTACTTTTTTAAATTTTCACGTACCATCGGCACTTTGCTTATGAGGCTGGCACCCACTATTAAAGACACTGCCTTTAGTTTTTAAAGTGCTCCCTAATGGTGTCCTTGGATGTGGATTTTGATCAATATTCACGGAGAAAATTGTGTTCTTTTTGAAGCTTATAGAACATTGTGAGAATGAGAAGAAAATGAGCACTCCATTAGAAATTATGACATAAACCGAAAATAAAACATTTTGATCTGAATTGTACACGAAATATACCATCAATCAAGAACTATTCGAATAGGAGAGAAAAAAATTTTAAATCATCATCTTGACATAAAAAACATCCAAAAAAAATCTAAAACAAAAATGGAAGAAAAATAATTTTCTGAAGAGATGGTTAATTAATTTCTAAGGGGCGTACCATAACTGAGACACAACATGTGAATTACTTTCCCAAAGAAATGATGATAATCAACATTTCTTATACAGATGAATTTCAATTTTGTTGACACATATGTGTTGTTTTTAGGTGGAAAAAACATATTATTATGTATGACGTCGTTCCAATATCTGATTACAGTGATAATCTTGATATTAAAGAGAAAATGATAATTATATGTTTCAAGTTTAACTAGAAGCGTCTGATGGCATCTCCTACTGTTTTTCTCTTCTATAGTAAGAATAAAAGTGAAATTAAGACATACACCTACAGAAAGATAGAAAAAAAAGAAGCTACTTATTCTTTGAATTAGTAGATTCTATATTCTAATTGTAGACATTTGTATGCCCATCATATTTACATTAAATCTCACAAAAGAATGAGCAATTCTTTTTTTTTTCTAGAATACACATTTTAACCTCTTCGAAAGACACAGATAATGAGCTGTTAATTTTTTGTTTGTAGTTAAATGATGAATACTCTGAAAACTTATTTTCTCAATCTTAATTTCTTTCAATCATCTAATCCTTATAATCAACCAGATGACCATGAACATCGTTCAAACATTATCGCTACTCGTGTTTATATTATTATTTATGGTATAACTCTTTCTACTCTTATTCTTTCTTTATGGTTAAGTGCAAATATAAGTCAAGTTACTCTTGAATATCCAACTCAAAATCAATTTCAAACATTACCTCTTGATGCACAATGTCCATGTTCTCGAATCTCTTTATCTTATGGTCAATTCGTATCCATTCAAACAAGGTTTCATCAAGTTTGTTCAAGTGATTTTATTTCTGATCGATGGATTAAAGCCATATTTTATGATTCTGATGCAACATATCTTTATCGAGCAGACTTTCGAACCATTGGTAGTGCTCAGTTTCGTGCTCTGTCAAGTCTTTGTGATTTAACAAAAACAAGTATTAGTCGAAGTCTTGCGTCTTTTAATATGAAATCAATAATCAGTCCATATGTTTTATCTCAATCAGTTATTCAATCAGAAGTACAAACTTCTATTGAACAATTTCGATTGACAACATCTAATACATTTGTAAAACAATTAGAATTTGTTCAAAAAATGATTATTGGTAATCAACTTCTTTCAGCGTTACAAACAAATATTGCTCCTTTGTATGTTCAAATTTTTAATGGATCTCTGCAATTAGGATATTATATGGTTTATAATATTTCTAATGATTCCTATTGTGATTGTCAAATCAATGATAACTGTCGAGTACCTTCAGGTATTTTCAAGGAATTGAAACAATCTTATATTAATATACTTTTTGATAACACCCAACTGATGTCAATGAAAATTGATGGCTTTTCGGCTGGTTGTATGCCAATGGATTCAATACTTCAATCGACTCTTCAATGTTTTTATAATCAGACATGTTTGAATGAACTTCTGTCATTTTTATCCACGAATGAAAGTTTTACAGCTATGAATATCTCTAAGTATAGTCGTTTCGAACCAAGTTCTACTGTAAAAGAAATAGTCAATGAACTAATGGTTGAAGAATGGATAACAAATATATCATATGAAAAATATTATGCTCAATGTGCACCTATTCAATGTACTTATTCAAAAGTAGAAAAACATGATTTGGTAAATGTATTGACAACAGTCATTACTTTCCATGGTGGATTAACATTAGTACTGAAACTTATTATTACACATATTGTTCGATTTATACATCGGAAAAAAGATAATGAACCAAGTTCGCAAATATCTTGTACGTATTATGCAGTTTAGAATTTATTTGACTACAACAGGCTAATAATTTGATAAATTCCTATTCAGAGTACTATCATAGTTGTATAAACAATATCCAATATTTCTATAAATAGCATCTCTAATCCTTCGGTATTGCCACGATTTCTCGTATTTTTGTTTAGAAATTTTTTATGTGCATAAGAAGATAAAATCAGTCCTGCTCTATATTGCATTTTATATTCTAACACAATCATTTGTCTTTTAATTTTTAGTGTATACTCGAATTCGTCAATTTCAAACACTTATCAAACGTTACCTAGCTCAATTAAACCTCTTCGAACATCATTCTAGTAATGCTCGTCAAGTACATTATCAATACATTGCTACTCGATTGTATATATTAATTTTCTTAATTTTGCTGACAATACTAACGTCTTATATATTAGCAACCAAAGGAATCTATCAAGAAACTATATATCATCCAACTGAAGAACAATACAACAAACTTCAAAAGATTTATCCAAATAGTCTCTCATGTTCTTGTAGTGTTATTTCTGTTCCATACAAGTCTTTCCTTGAAATTGAACCTTTTTATCATCATTTATGTTCCAGTGATATGGTCTCCCAAGGTTGGATCGATTATTACAATAATTTTAAATTATATTTTATCATTTCAAATCGCGATTTTCGAGCTAATGCTGGTCATCAATTTCAGATCCTAGCCACTTTATGTGAACAAGCTCAACAAACAGTAAATAGTGCTCTTCAAGTATTTCTTCAAAGACAATTTGTTAGTTCTCAAATCATTTCTCAAGAACTTTTTCGATCTCAAATCAACGAAAGTATTGAAAGATGGAAATCAAATACTCTCAATTCATTTTTACACCTAACTCAATTAATTCGTGTTACAAATCAAGGAAATCAACTTATCAATAGTTTTCATAATTTCTATTTTTATCTAGATCAAATTTCTGAACAATTAATTCCAGTACCAGCTAATTATTCAACTTGTTCATGTGCAAGATCGAGTGCATGTCAAATTCCTATGGGTATATTCGTTTACAACTGGACAATCTTTGATTATGTTGAACTTTTTCGTATTCCTAACTTTTTTACTGGTTGCTTTCTAGTTGAATCTTTACTCGAATCGACTTTGGAATGTTTTTATGATCATCAATGTATGAAAATCATTGAATCTTACACGTCTAATACAACAACTAATTTTTCACTACTTGATACAACTCGTAATTCACCAAATGAAACGGTTCAATCAATTATTAATCGATTAATGATCGATGCATGGCAATCAAATATATCATTTAGTGCTTATTATAAGATGTGTTCACCATTATCTTGTACGTATGAACAAACACGTCGACATGATATTGTCTATCTAATCTCATCTATTTTTGGTCTATTTGCTGGTTTGGTATTTGGAATAGAAATTCTTATTTTAATTATACTTCGTTTTATTGAAAAAATGGTTAATGATTTTTCTTTAATCGAACTGAAAAGAAGATTTAAAGATTTATTTATCTGTCGTGAGGAAGAACAAATTATCAATCGATGTCATTTTATTTTACTTATACTCACCATATCTCTCCTCTATATGGCTACATCTCTTACGCTAGTGGCTAAAACTGAACGAGTCATTAAACCATCTTTATTCACCTATCAATATCTACTAACAAATTACCAAGACTCACTTCAATGCTCTTGTTCACATATATCAATTGAATATCAATCATTTCTTACGATGACGTCTCGTATTCATCAAATCTGTTCAAGTGATTTTGTCTCAAACGACTGGATTGATTATATTTATAATACTATTGATCCTTTTCATTTGAATTATACTGATTTTCGAACAACAGCTACTGGTCAATATCAACTATTGGCTTCATTCTGTCAATTCTCTCGACAAGTACTTAACGATGCTTTATCGAATCTATTAACTAGTCATTTTATTGACACTGAACTGCTCTCATATAATGTATTATATGAACGAATTCAATCATCTCTCAAAGAATTTCAAATG